GTAATACAAATTATAGAGCGTAACACGAGAACCGCCTTCGTCTTCCACGTCCCATTGCAGACGTATGGACGAAGCTGTTGTTTCAGTGACGTGCAGTTTTGGTGGAAGAGGAGGCACTGTTGAAGAATAAGGATATTATCTGAATTTTTTTGTTATTGATTTAATATTCACACTTAGTAAATTAACGCATGATTTTTAACTGCTTACTGACACCAAGAATTGTTTTGACTGTAATTTTACTTCTTAGCTCGACCATTCTCAAGATTAGAAAAAATCTTCCCTAAAATTTTCATTCACGTTCATTGGTTGCCAATTCCCAAACGAAGCTTCTAAGTTTCAGTTTTGATTCAAGTAAATATGTCAGCACCTTCACCTCTAATCGAAGCTTCTGAGTTCCAGTGTTAATTCAAGTAAATATTTCAGCACCTTCACCTCTAACTATGACATTGTATGTGATGGCATCAGTGCCGTGTATGTTGGACGCTGTACAGGTGTAAAGACCACTGGCGCTGCGGTCCACGGAGCTGATCACTAACGAGCCGTTGTTATCAACCATCAGCCTGTAGAATAAAAAACTGAAATCTAGAAATTTTGTCGAAGATAATCCTTCTAAATATTTTAGTTCATGCACAGTATTTTTTAGTTCTTGCACAGTATTCCACAATTTTAGTTCATGCACAGGATTCTCAGAAAAAAATTTCCATGATCAAAGCTCGGACGGAGGGTGAATATTAGTGTTGCGCTCGAACAAGCAATGCTTATTATTGATTATTAACAAGCTATATAAGCATGGAGGCATTTCGACGAGCTAGCTGCGAGGTTAAGGCCATGACACATCGCTGGAGGCAAAGTAACAAGGGAAACGATTCGCGAATTGTAGAATGCGCAGCTAATTAGGCATTTGACACGAAGCCTCTGTATTCCTCCTGCACATCATATAAAAATTGCAATCTAATGCAGTCCATCACTGAATTTCGAGACAGGCAAGATACGTCTCATATGAATAAATCCTAACAATCATGCACTATCTACTATATCAATATTTCACACGATATTTTCCAGTTTACTTTCAAATATTCATTCTAGAAACAAGATCATAATATACGTGCAACGAAAGCAACTAAATTGTGAATTTTTTTTCTCAATTAAGATTTCATCGATAACATTAGATTCACGTGAAGGACTTGAAGTTCTATAAAAAATGTTCCGTGTAATTGAATAAACAATGTGATATTTTGAACGTTAGAAATTGTTAATCACAAGTTAGAAATTTATGCGGTAGTACAAAGTTAAACCTGGCAAGCGCACCCCGGGGAGTTTAGGGCGACGCGCTCCGGTCCGCGGGTCCAGGTCCTGGTGGGCTCCGGCACGCCGACGGTGCGGCATTGCAGGAGTGCGTCTTGCTTCCAATTGACGAGCACGCTTCCGCCCACCGACCAGATGCCCGCACCAACTGCATAATGGTGGATAAGAGGATGGTTATAGTTGGTTGAACGTTATATAAGGCTCTCACTGCATGGCCTGAAAAAAAGGCTGAATGAAAGAAGGATTATTGTACCTTGCAATTTGAATGTGGCTTCAAGTCAAAGGAACGCTTACAACTGTCATTACAACTAAATCATCGCCTCAACTAAATCATCACCTCATCAAAAAACCTAAAAAATCATCTGATACTTACTTTTTCATAAATTTTAACATAGCATTAGGTAGGTTATTATTATTATTAAGTAGCAGAGTGCCAGTTACCTTCATCATGACCACAGACGATGAGAAACAAAAGAGTGCCCTAATACAACCCCTGGCAAAATATATGGAATCACCGGCCTCGGAGGATGTTCATTCAGTTGTTTAACTTTGTACAAAAAAAGCAGATCACAGACATGACACAAAACTAAAGTCATTTCAAATGGCAACTTTCTGGCTTTAAGAAACACTATAAGAAATCAAGAAAAAAATTGTGCAGTCAGTAACGGTTATATATTTAGACCAAGCAGGGGGAAAAAAATATGGAATCACTCAATTCTGAGGAAAAAATTATGGAATCACCCTGTAAATTTTCATCCCCAAAACTAACACCTGCATCAAATTAGATCTGCTCGTTAGTCTACATCTACAAAGGAGTGATCACACCTTGGAGAGCTGCTGCACCAACTGGACTGACATGAATCATGGCTCCAAAACGAGAGATGTCAATTGAAACATAGGAGAGGATTATCAAACTCTTAAAAGAGGTTAAATCATCACGCAATGTTGGAAAGATGTTGGTTGTTCACAGTCAGCTGTGTCTAAAATCTCGACCAAATACAAACAACATGGGAAGGTTGTTAAAGGCAAACATATTGGTAGACCAAGGAAGACATCAAAGCGTCAAGAAAGAAAACTCAAAGCAATATGTCTCAAAAACCGAAAATGCACAACAAAACAAATGAAGAACGAATAGGAGGAAACTGGAGTTAACGTCTGTGACCGAACCGTTAGAAACCGCCTAAAGAAAATGGGATTTACATACAGAAAAGCCAAACGAAAGCCATCATTAACACCAAAACAGAAAAAAACAAGGTTACAATGGGCTAAGGAAAAGCAATCGTGGACTGTGGATGACTGGATGAAAGTCATATTCAGTGTTGAATCTCGAATCTGCATTGGCAAGGTGATGATGCTGGAACTTTTGTTTGGTGCTGTTCCAATGAGATTTATACAGATGACTGCCTTAAGAGAACATGCAAATTTTCACAGTCATTGATGATATGGGGCTGCATGTCAGGTAAAGGCACTGGGGAGATGGCTGTCATTACATCTTTGATGAATGCACAAGTTTACGTTGATATTTTGGACACTTTCCATATCCCATCAATTAAAAAGATGTTTGGGGATGATTAAATCATTTTTCAAGATGATAATGCATCTTGCCATAGAGCAAAAACTGTGAAAACATTCCTTGAAAAAGACGCATAAGGTCAATTTCATGTCCTGCAAATAGTCCGGATCTTAATCCAATTGAAAATCTTTGGTGGAAGTTGAGGAAAATGGTCCATGACAAGGCTCCAACCTGCAAAGCTGATCTGGCAACAGCAATCAGAGAAAGTTGGAGGCAGATTGATGAAGAGTACAGTTTGTCACTCATTAAGTCTATGCCTCAGAGACTGCATGCTGTTATAAAAGCCTGAGGTGGTGCAACAAAATACTAGTGATGTGTTGGAGCGTTCTTTTGTTTTTCATGATTCCATAATTTTTTCCTCAGAATTGAGTGATTCCATATTTTTCCCCTCTGCTCGGTCTAAAAAAATTACCGTTACTGACTGCACAATTTTTTTTCTTGATTTCTTATAGTGCTTCTTAAAACCAGAAAGTTGCCTTTTGAAATGAATTTAGTTTTGTGTCATGTCTGGGATCTGTTTTTTTTTCTACAAAGTTAAACAACTGAATGAACATCCTCCGAGGCCGGTGATTCCATAATTTTTGCCAAGGGTTGTACATTTATCCAAGTACGAAGTAAAAGTTTTATTGCAAAAGTTTCTCTCGTCTGCAACGAATAACCAAGAAGCAAGGTATAAAAAAATAATCACTGCGTATAGATATAGACAGACCGGTGTCGCTGGGGACGACAGACATCAGCGCACTGGTTCTTCCCTCGCCCACAACAGTCGACGCGGTCACCCACACCTGCAGGGCATGAAACGATAAAACTGACGCTGCCATGGCACTGCAAATTATAAGGACTTCGCGGGCATATATTTTGTCACGAAATATTTCAAATACACGAAATACACTCGGTGCTGCAACACGACATATTTCCAAATAATCATAGCACCGAGCGGGTAAAACGGGAGAAACAATCATGCGTGCCGAAAAATCGCAGTTAGCAAGTCCAGAAATAGGCGAACGATCAGCATTTTGACTTCGCGCATTTCTGTGACTTGATCAATAACAGAGAATGTTTCTCACTCACTCGAGGATGATGGGGAGTAGGCAAGATGATAGGCCACGATAACGCCATTCCTCCCGCGCTCCTCAGGGGGACGCCAGCTGACAGTGAGGGAGTGAGCGGACGACGGGGAACAAGAGACGGAGGCTGGAGGGCTGTTGGGAGCTGCAGGGAGGAACAATCCTATAAACAAGTTCCTCTTATGATTTCTGTGGTATTCTACCAGCTTGCGAAGACAATAATCATAATTATCTATACATTACTAACGAGTTACTTGTACATATCAAAGTGCCCGCAGTCAATGGCTGCTCTTCTAGGCACATTTAAAGATCTCAAACAGAGAAATAAGTGACCAACACATTGTTTCTCTGCATTAGCCAAAGGACTGAGACACAAGAGCATGTAATGAAACCATGTAACAGGAAACAAAACTCACTGTCCTGCAGGGTCTGCCCCATGACAGGGTCTGACGAGGGTCCAGCCCCTCGGGAGTTGAAGGCCCTGACGATGACATCGTAGAAGGAGTGAGGATGCAGGTCAGTGACGATGGTGTGCGTGGCGGTGGACGAAGCATCGCTACCGCCCACCGTCGTGAAGTTGTAAGCGCTGCCTTCGTCACTTGTGTCATCCATCGTGCTGCCAACACGTCAAGAGGTCAACGTCTTGCTGTCAACTCTATGATACACCAAAGAGCTTATGAGACGTCTTAGAGCTGCAAGTGGCGCTTAGGGTATTTAAAACATCAACCACTACAGACTACACCCCAGCTATTCCCCATGATAAATATCAAGACAGCGGAACTGATGTCGATAGCATCAGTAGAAAGTATGCCTGATTTTTTGCATGAATGCGAGGCGTGAGGCGCACCTGGGGAGGCGGAGGCGGATGCCGAGGTAGTAGCCCAGGAGGCGTCCATGTGAGGCGTTGCGAGGCGGAGGCAGCCACGTCACGCGTAACGACCGAGAGCTCGAACTCACCACCTGCAAAGGAATTGAACATTTTATTCGCTTAAATACCTTCCGGATGTAAATCTTCATGTGTTGTTAGTTAACAATTTTAGAATCGGCTCGTTTTTCAGGTACAAGGATACCCTCCCTGTTTTTATGCGATCGTCACTAGTTTACAGGTATAGTTCTGCACAGTGCCCATCAGCGTACGTCGGTATGACGTCACGCAATTTCTATACTAGGCTGGCTGAGCATAAAGGCAGGAGTTATAGAACGGGGAACCTACTTGCACATGCTCGTCATTTTGCTGTATGTGTTCATGCCGATGAGTGCACCTCAGGATCTGATAGTGATTTTAAGGTTCCAGCATTCACATCCGGTGTTACTGATCCACCAATTTTCTAATCTCTGTATATATTCAAACAGAAGCCTAGCCTGAATGCTGCTTTTAGCTCCTTTCCTCTTGAAATAGTAAATAGATAGCCCGTTTGTTAGCTTTAATTTCATGCCTCATTTGCTTATTTCCGTTTTAATATCTGACCGTGGATTTTACTTTACTAATTGGTTGTACTTGTGTTTCTAGGACTGAACTTCTTCTAAACTGAACTTTGTGTTGTGAACTGACAATGGAGCTAGACTACGAAACGGTTAATCTTATGAAGAAATGGTGATTTTTTCTGGGATTGTCTTTGCTTTAAATTCCTGGAACCACATCCTGCACCACCTGCAACGAACCACATTCTAAACCACCTGCATAAATGAAACGAAGCACATCCCGAGTGCTTGAAGGATGGACCAAAAGCTGGTGCAGCGCACCACCTGCAACCAACCACATCCTGAGTGCTTAAAGAAATAATGGATAAGACGATCTGATGTAACGCACCACCTAATAAGCTGAGCTAACCATTTCCTGAGTGCATAGATGAAGTATAAGCTGGTGCCGCACTTGCAAAAAGCTGCAAACACGTGCAAAAATTTCGCCCATTTTGACTGAAACGCCAAATAAGTGAAATATAACCTAGAGTACAATGATTGTCCAGTGTCTTCCACTAAACATTTCTTTGAAGCAAACGTTGATAATCTTTGTAGTGCTCGAACTATTGTTGGGGCTCTCTGAACCACATCCTGCTCCACCTAGGGAAGGTGACTAATCAGCATTCAGCTTAGTTCTCCTTACGAGTTGTACGAAACGTACCTGGCGGCCAGCACTACAAAGCCGCGTATCGCAGCACACTGATAAAATCTACTTGTATGCCAAATTCCAAGCAAATCCGTTTAGTGTTGAAAGACTTACGGGTGATTCGGTTGAGCGTAAAGTTAGGTTTTGCGTTCGAGTCTGCAGGCGAGTTCGGAGAAGTGTCGATTCGGCCGGATCGCACATGAATTCAGTGACATCATTAAATCATGTTGCTTCAATAGGGTCTGATATGTCTCAGATCGTAAAATTAGGTTCAAGATCAATCACTACATGCTACATGTTGAGGCATCTCGTGCATAACTGATTCCATCCCTAATGCTGTACGTAATAGGAGAGGTAGTCTGGAGCCAATATCATTCGGTAGATAGAACATTTATAGACCCACGACCGTACACAACCTTGGAATTCGTTGCGCTACGTTGTTATTCGAAATTTATCACAGTTCCTCCTTTGATTCGGCGTGCTCACTTAGTCCGAAGTCTTTTGTATGTTATCTTCTTGCATCATATTGTTTGAAAACCACGTTAACCTTTTTATCTCGTATTACAAACTTATTTTCTCATTATGTGCAGAACCTCGTCATCAATAAATCTGATGCAAAGTTTCGAATCATATCACTTTCACAGAAATTTTAGGAAACCTTTATAATCCTCCTTCGACTATTTCGTGGGCTGATTCGATGCAGAGGATAAGTGGTGGCTCTTATACACATCTANATGTATCAGACATTACCTATATCGTTGTGTGCAGTGATGTATCAGGCATTACCTATATCGTTGTGTGCAGTGATATAGAAGATATACTCTGTCCCGCACTCGAGACCGTAGATTGTATGGCTGTTGTCTTGTACAGCCAGTTGCACAGCCTCGCCGTTAGCAGTCCTACAATTGACAATGCAAACGACTAGTACGGAAGACTGCCGTATAACAATAATGAATGCATTACAGAAGCTGACATGATTAATAGCAATCTATTGGAACAGAGAATACTTTCAGAGACATTATCAGTAGTTGAACAATTATATTTTTGGGCGGAACAGTCTATGTGAGAAACGACAGCAAACGAACTACGATAAGTAGCAATAGTAATAGCAAGTGGATGAGTGTGGTAAAAATCAAGATGAGTTTCATGGCAAGTATAGTTGTCAATGGGCAGAAAAGAACCGACGCGAGGTAAATGTCCGAGAAATTTACCTGTAGTACAGAAAAGAACCGACGAGAGGTAAAAGTCCGAGAAATTTACCTGTAGTACAAGTTAAAGAGCGTAACACGAGAACCGCCTTCGTCTTCCACGTCCCATTGCAGACGTATGGACGAAGCTGTTGTTTCAGTGACATGCAATTTTGGCGGAAGAGGAGGCACTGTTGAACAAAATGGACATTATCTGAATTTTTTTGATGATTTAATATTCACACTTAGTAAATTAAGGCATTATTTTCAACTGCTTACTGGCCAAGTCAACTGCATGCTCACTGACCAACTGCTCAAGACCAAATTATCAAGAATCGTTATAACTGTAATTTTACTTTTTAGCTCGACCATTCTCAATATTAGAAATAAATCTTCCCTAAAATGTGCATTCAAGTTCATTGGTTGCCAACTCCCAATCGAAGTCTCTTACTTTCAATGTTAATTCAATTAAATATGCCAGCACCTTCACCTCTAACTATGACATTGTAGGTGATGGCATCACTGCCGTGTATGTTGGACGCTGTACAGGTGTAAAGACCACTGGCGCTGCGGTCCACGGAGCTGATCACTAACGAGCCGTTGTTATCAACCATCAGCCTGTAGAATAAAAAAATGAAATCAAGAAATTTTGTCGAAGATAACCCTTCTAAATATTTTAGTTCTTGCACTGTATTCTCAGAAAATACTTCCATGATCAAAGCTCGTACGGAGGGTGAAAGTTACGGTTGCGCTCAAACAAGCAGTGTTTATTATTTATTATTAACAAGCTATATAAACATGGAGGCATTTCGACGAGGTTGAGGCAAAGACACATCGCCGGAGGCAAAGTTACAAGGGAAAAGATTTGCGAATTGTAGAATGCGCAGCCAATGAGGGCATTTGACACAAAGCCTTTGTATTCCTCCTGCACACCTTATGAAAATTGAAATCTAATGCAGTCCATCACTGAATTTCGAGACTAGCAAGATACGTCTCATATGAATAAATTCTAACAATCATGCACTATATACTATATCAATATTTCACACAAAATTTTCCAGTTTACTTCTATATATTCATTCTAGTAACAGGACCATTAAATAAATGCAACGAAAGCAACTAAATGGTGATTTTTTCAATTTAGATTCATCAGCATTAGATTCAAGTGAAAGACTTTAAGTTTTATAAAAAATGTTCCGTGTCATTGAATTACAATGAGATATTTTGAACATTAGAAATTGTTAATCACAATTTAGAAATTTATGCGGTAATGCGTCGTTAAACCTGGCAAGCGCACCCCGGGGAGTTTAGGGCGACGCGCTCCGGTCCGCGGGTCCAGGTCCTGGAGCTGCTATGTCACTGCAAATAATTAAAACATTGCGGGTTATATTTTGTCACGAAATATTTCAAATACATGAAATACACTCGGTGCTGCAACACGAAATATTTCTAAATAATCGTAGCACCGAGCGGGTAAAACGGGAGAAACAATCATATGTGCCGAAAAATCACAGTTAGCAAGACCAGAAAAAGGCGAACGGTCATCATTTTGACTTCGCGCATTTCTGCGACTTGACCACAACAACAGGTGAGCACGCAAGGCAGGTCGATGCCTTTCATTTGATTACTTGCAATTACGCACTCTATTACGAGACAGGGAAATGAAATTATACACTTACAGCATAAATGGCTATCACATTAATTCCATTTCCAACAACCCTTAATCACTCAACTAACACAAGTAACAGTATTTAACGACGATTTATTACATATAGACAGAGGTGGGCAGTAGCGCGCTACATGTAGCGGCTGCTACTAGCGGCCGCTACATTTTTGGTAGCGTTAGCGGCGCCACATTTCGGCAATTGTAGCGGTAGCGGTAGCACCCGCTATATTTAGAGCATGCAGCGGTAGCGGCCGCTACATTTCAAATTAGCGCTGCCCAGCTCTGCATATAGACTGACATGCAATGGCACGCCGCTTAAATTTTCGAGCTTCAAGAAGTTTTTCTGCCCTTCTACGGCGGTGCTCTTGGTCAGCAAGACTTCGGAGGCATTGGACGTGGGGCGCCAGTACACCGTGTAAGAAATTACGCGTCCTCGAGGCTGCTCAGGCGCCCGCCACGCCACCAAGACGCTGGACGCTCCGGCAGACACGGCCTTCACTGATGAAGGCGCTGATGGAACTGGCAACGACAACCTTACTTTGAGATTTTAATCAATGATTCATCTATTTATCACTGAAGAAACCTAGAAACCTAGGATTGTTCCATCAATTTCTGATTTCTCCATCATGTCACATCAGCTATCATGATATCACTCAAAAAATGTAATGCTATAATTCAAATATTTAAAAGCCAGAACCTTCTAAACTCTGAAGGAAGTTTCGTCATAAATTCTCAAACTTCGTCATACACGAATTCCGAGAATTATCACGATGTTTTAAAAGCTAGAAGAAAAGTACTTCTTAAGTACCAAAAGCAAGCTTACCTCCCTCCATGGTGGCGCACAAGACAGTGTTCGCAGAAACTCCCACCCCAACAGAAGTGGCGGCCGCGACTGTGATGGAGTAGTTGGTCCAGGCCTCCAGCCCCGGCAGTTCCGTCCCGTGACTGTCAATGACGATCAACAGTCGTCCACCGCGGCTCGTCGAGATCGCCCGCTGAATGCCATCATCCATTTCCGGGGTCGATGATTCACCGAATGTGCCGTAATCTTGGGGGATAAAACGCCTTGATAAGGATAAAATAAAAGTCACAAACTCTCACTTTGAGACTTTATTCGAACGATTTAAAATTTGTATTTTAAAGGAGGGGCTAAAAAACTTTGGCAAAGGTTACTTATTACTTGGACTTAATATGAAGATTACGAGTGATGTCCTGGAATGTTTCTGAATAGATGACTGATTTTAATTTTGAACAGTTTTCGCTTCTGATAGCTAAACGACTTTTCAAGTCGTTCTGTGACTCTTTGGAAGTGAGGTTAAATTTAATTTCAAACAACTCAAGTAGATCGTTGATGTAACAGCGAATGTTTCTCACTCACTGGAGGATGATGGGGAGTAGGCAAGATGATAGGCCACGATAACGCCATTCCTCCCGCGCTCCTCAGGGGGACGCCAGCTGACAGTGAGGGAGTGAGCGGACGACGGGGAACAAGAGACGGAAGCTGGAGGGCTGCTGGGAGCTGCAGGGAGGAACAATCCTATAAACAAGTTCCTCTTATGATTTCTGTGGTATTCTACCAGCTTGCGAAGACAATAATCATAATTACTGTATGTATACAATACTAATAGAAATTTAAAAGCGAAGAAAACTCCACACATATTCAGCATTATAAATTTAGTTGTGCACGATGTGCATCTGCGTACGTCGGAATGACGGCACGCAACCTTTACACTAGGGTCGCTGAGTATAAAGGGAGGAGTTGTAGGACTGGGCAGTTACTATCGCGCCCTCCTCATTCGGCTGTGCGCACTCACGCCGAACAGTGCAACGTTCCGGTGTCCGACACTGACTTTAAGATTTTAGCTTATAGTTATATTGAACAGAGTAAACTTTATTCTGAACATTGAAAACCGTTTACAGAAACTAAGGATAGCTGAAAGTAAGGATCGTTTCAGTTCAATGAGATGTTATCTAATGATAAATTAATCTATGCAGTAGTAGTAGTAGCTCACCTGCTATTCACATCCTACTATCAACATTGAATAAATCAATTCCGTCGGTTAAAACTTTGTACATTTACTTTGAAACTTATTTTTACTAATTGGAAACTCAATAGTTCTTATTTAATCATGAATATTGTATAATATACGTGCGTTGAAAAAAAAACGCAATGTGAACGCTTATTACATCTGTGATAAACTAATGCTCAGTGGTGGAATATAGAGAAGGAACGACTGAGTTGTCACTCGTACAGAGACTGCGTTACCTTCTTGTACTTGTTCGCTTCTTGCTATAGTTCCGTGAATAACATGATCTCAGGGTACAGATGTAGGTTTTTAGAGTTTGATCATTTATCGAGTTATTTCGTGCCATGATTAGCATCTTAATTTTGCTTGAATAACAAAAGCACCATAAACAAATAATCGTAATGAATAAATCGTTTTTTCTCGTCCTCTGCCCACTAACTCCTGGAATTTTTACCTGAATTTGATGACTTCTGTGACAGTTCTTAAACATAGTACCTATTTAAAATCTATGAAAGTTGAATTTGTAGAAAAACTCAATAAATGCAAAATTACAATTAACGCCAGAAACTTAATGAGCTGAGAAAAATATACTCGTATAAATTTTGTGTCTTTTTATGGGTTCTGGATTATTCACTGATTGCAGAAAAATAAAACTTGAACCACTCTTAGAACTCGAACTTAACCCAACGAATGTTGAAGGATCCATTAGGACAATCGTTGCCGTACAAAAGCGCCAGGTGAAACTAACACATTATTATATTAGCACACTCAAGAACAAGGCTTAATTTTGAATTTTCATGTCATTAATAACACTGAGTATATTATAACAGGGATATTTTTGCTACATTTATTTGCTGCCGCTATCTACAAATTTAAGCATTAACGAACTAGGATGAGGATGGTTGACATACAGTATCACATGCGATTCCGTCAATCTTGAATACGCTTCATAAATAAAATTACCTTTTGTGCTGTTTTTCATTTTAAGTTGACCGTATACTTCCCCATTCCTATCAATCGTAATGTTATGCTACTTCAACATTCCCGTTAGGATTTTAAATGTTAAAGAATTACTCATAACATTGGGTTGGGAAAGAAATGTGTCGAGGCGGACGTCTCTGGCGGTTGTCCCATTGCCGGTTGCGCTCGCCGTCCGCCTGGCGCTTGTCAACGCCCCGGAGTCCAACAACGGAACTCTCCGGCCTCGCCTGCCCGCGGTAATCTCGAGACATTTTCGAAGGGATGGCGCTGGTATAATTTTCGTCCGACGAGGAGCCCTCCACCTGAGTAAAAATTATGTTTGCATTTTTAATCTTCCGTCAGACAGAGAGCCCTCATAATTCTACAAACAAAAATTCACAGCTAAAATCATGGTAAATAAATAGGCCTCCGCAAGAGGTCAGTCAAAAATTAATTTCAAATTATATTAAATTCAAACCACATACTTTCGAATAGATTTTCTTTATTCGTGCTTTGTGGTGAATTTAATTATCTTCATTACGGGTAATAAAGTTTGAGAAAGAAGCAATTATTACAATTCACATTTAAACATCGATAATATTGGCTCTTTTTAATGCAATTATTTTAGCTTATTGAAAAGAAATTAAAGTAAGATAGGGAAAACTAAACGGCATACGATTAATTTCCAGCGTCGTCATATTTGGGCGAATGTTTGCGACTGAATAAATTTATTGTATTTGACAAGGTCATATTGTGACGAATGTTTGCGACTAAATCAATTTATTGTATTTGTAGTTTTTCCAAGATCGTGAATTTCATATGAATTTATAGATTGAACTTCAATGTTCTACAAATTCACAGATATTCCCTCACAATTATTGCTCACTATTGAATCAACAACATGACCTCAATATGGAAATATTCTGAACCTGAAGGAGTTGTAAGTTAAAGTGGATCATGTAAAGAAAAGTTAATTTATAAACGTTTTAAGGTGCAAATGAGTTCCGGGTTCGTAAAATAGCTGATTCGCTTCCTCAGTTCTCCGTAATAACATAGTGATGTCGGCCCTAAAGAGCAGGCCTGATGTGGCCTGTCGCCGATTCCAGAACTTTTCGTGACTTGTTCACAGATGATCTAAAATCGTTTCATTTAACCGGATCTTTTAAAATTTTAATTTTAATAATAAATATAATATATTTAAAGGATATATTTAATATTGAATTTTTTAATTTAATGATAAATTTTACAAATTTTTATAACAGGAAAGAGCTTACAGCATTAGGGCTGTCGACATTATTGAGCGATGGTATTTGGTACACAAGAGTAGCGTAGCTCCTCTGGCTCGTGTCCTCTGTATAGGCCCCGTCCCTCGCCTCGTACGGAGGTCGGGACAGCGGGGCTTGGGGTATTGGTGATACCGCCCCTAGATGGTAGGTGCTGTCCGCGTAGTGGTACACGTCCGACTCCCCTGGGTAATCTGAATTTAATAGTAGTTTGCTGCTAACGGTAGAATATGGCAAAAAAAATAAAAAAATCATTAATTAACTAATTTTTCGCAATTATTTGGAATTTCTAATATGGTATAAATGCCATCAATGGTTTAGAAATTTCAATTTTGCTTTGTTCTGTGAACTTCTTAGTTAACGCAAATTTCGACTCAAATTTCAGGAGTTTTAGAGCGAGCCTGAAGCTATACAATGGATTTTACATACGAGGCCATTTCATTTCTAAATACGGAGCGTGAATATACAATGAATAATTTGAACAAAGTGGAGATGGATCGCATCGAGTACTTCTTTAAATGAAAGTAAATATAATTATTAAACGAAAAGTTTAACATTGTAATCAGAATTTCATTCATAACTGTTTCGGGCGTCGCATAGTGAATAAAAATATCAACAAGATTCCCACTCCCGAAGCGGTGATCTGTCTCTCTCTCCAAAATTGTCATTGTTCAAGTTCATTAGTTAAAGAAATTAAATATTATGTGGATAAGCAGCCTCGTAACAACTAATAACATTAAATGAAAAGAATGCAGCAATAATAAAAAATTACATATACCAATCAACAAAACAATCACAAAATTGTATTATTTCTAGCAGTATATAGATTATCCAAACACAAAGCGGTTCTTTTACCATTCCGACCGTCGTCCGCATTCGGCAAAGGCTGAGGAAATCTTTGGAAATGCGAGCGTGTCTTGACTGGGTTTTCGAGTTCCTGTTTCTCCCTGAGCATGGAAGAGTCGTGGCCGTCCTGAGCAACCTTCGATGCTCCGCCCTCAGGCACTTCGTCTTCAGCGGAGTTGTGTTTTGTCAAGGTTTTGCCTGGAGAAAATATGATTATAAAGAGTACCCACTCTTTGTTCGGGGGATTGTTAGGAATGAAAACGCGTAGATGATTGTAACGGTTTCTGATAACAAAGAATGGACATTTTGAACGCAAAGTTGAGGTTAGTCGAAATTATAAACAATATAGAGAAAATAATCGAGGTAAACAAACAGTAAAATGGTCATAACGTAAGTAAATAATAACGTACCAAATTGCTGAACAATCTAGGGCAAGTTTGACGAGAAACTGAGTTTGCCTGAGCTCGTCGACTATGGTCCTACCTAAAAGGTCCCAACCTTCTGTACACGGGAGAAGTATGTTCAGTAATAAATTCTTCACAATGATTGCATGAACATCAACTCAAGCCTCATATCTTCTAAGAAACAAATACACCAGAAAAAAGCGTGCACGAATAAGTTAATCTACTGCATCGGAAATGACAATAAGGAGTACGAAAGAAATTGTAATGATATATATGAGAGCTTTTTATCGTAATGAAATTTCCGTTTTTTATATTTTTAAAGTTAAACGCTAGTTGAAGATTAAATGAATAAATAAATTGATATTCAAATTAATTTTTAATAGCAACGATTGAAGTCACCAATCTGTCCGGTATAAAAATAATTATAGGTAAGATTTGATATTAATTAAGATAAGATTGAAATGAATGAGGTATAAATAGATTGGGAGGAACGTGAAGCAATTGCACTGAATATGGCTATTCGTACCCGCAACTTCTGTTCCCAACAAAACAACTTTAATTGGTATTTATTGCGTGCATCTCTAAGTTAAAATAATTTTTTATCGCAAAACTGCGGTGGCATCGTTGTCATAGGTGCCATGTCAAGTCCACCATAGCTGCGGTCAAACCAAACAGAGGTACAAATCTCAGTTCAGTCTTGTCTCCAAGTCCTGAGTAAATAACGACCCCGCGCATGCTAATGCTGACTTCTCCTGACGCAGATGCAGATCCTGACGAGTGTGGCCATTAGGGCGAGAATGGACAGCGCCATAGGGATGAGAATGCGCAGGTCACGCCACAGCGGCGAGTTGCGATCGTCTCTGCTTTGACCGCTGGAGCCGCCCCATACCGTCGGTGATCCTGAAAAAATATAACTCAGTACTCGCTGCAGTGAGTGACAGAGAGCGCATTTTCTCGTCGACGAAAACGTGTAGTCACGGACAGACAGACGGAGATCCTGACGAGTGTGGCCAGAAGGGCGAGTGTGGACAGCGTCATAGGGATGAGAATGCGCAGGTCGCGCCACAGCGGCGAGTTGCGATCGTCTAAAACAAGTCATAGATACTTGAATACCACGAGTGTTCGCCGTAGACTTTCATAGCACATATTTGACGTCCCATGCAATAAAACATCTCATGAATTGCGTTATGATAAATGTGTTAAGCCCTAGTGGCTTAGGCGAAATTTCGACACTCGGGTTTCAAGGAGTTTTATTTGGGTAATCTTGAAAACATAGTTTCTGTAAGAATGACATCAGAAATATTAACTATCTTAATACAAGAGATAAACAAATATAAGCAAAATTATATCCAAGTTAACCAAAAAAATGTATCATATCAGAATCAATAATGAAAGACTAATAAATTGCAGGACTAAACTCACCGAAGTATTTCGCCGCTAAAGAGGTTTGACTACGAATGACAATTTATGTCCAGGTAAACTTCGGTCGGATGACTGAAGATCTAAACAGAAAGATTACGTGAAGCGTACATGTGAAAAATTGCGATTACAAAATGCACTGCAAATTTTTAGTTCTTCGTCGCTTGTCTTCACTACTCATTTATGGTCATCATCATGAAAATGACCGTTTTTCCATTAAAAAGAACTCGAATGGTACGTTTAGTTATTGGCGACAAAAATCAAGAGTTTGATATTTCGTCAGATTTAAATACTCTTTTTCAAATGCACAAACCTTGATTGTTCATAGTTGGTACACATGAAATTCATGCAATTTTTCATTAATCTTAGTGCTTTGTAAATTATCAGTTTGAGCTGACCTGTGGTCCAGTGGTTGCTGGAGTCTCGGAGCTGGACAACGAAGTGGGAGATGGGACAGCCCCCTGAGTCCCACTGGGTGAGGTACAGGGTGGCCTGGGTGCTGTTGCTGGTCACGAACTGGAACAGCGGGGGAGCCACGGGAGCTCGGCCCTTCGTGCGAGCCGTCACAACGCTCGACGGCTCGCTCGACCCTGATAAATGACGCTCACGTGAAACATTCAATGGGAAATTTATAGATTAATCTTCTGTTCCAGGCAAACTAAACCTTGTACACGAATTAAGATCATTCACTTAATTCGTCAGAAATTAAATTAACATTAAACATACCTCCACATTCTGAAAATACGTTCATATACTAGTGAGTAGTGGTCATTATTCAAGTCATCTTGCTACACCATTAGATGTTCTCTCAAAAATAATTTATCCACACCAACAAGCAGGTAAAAATGAGACATTATATGCATCAGACATTATATATAATTTCGTGCAAATAATTTGCAGGCACTACCTATCATCGTTATGTGCAGTGATGTATCAGACATTACCTACATCGTTATGTGCAGTGATGTATCAGACATTACCTACATCGTTATGTGCAGTGATGTATCAGACATTACCTATATCGTTGTGTGCAGTGATGTATCAGACATTACCTATATCGTTGTGTGCAGTGATGTATCAGATGTACTCTGTCCCGCACTCGAGACCGTAGATTGTATGGCTGTTGTCTTGTACAGCCAGTTGTACAGCCTCGCCGTTAGCAGTCCTACAATTGACAATGCAAACGACTAGTACGGAAGACTACCGTGTTACAATAATGAATATAGAACAGAAGCTGACATGATTATTAGTAATGTAGTGGAACAGAGAATACTTTTAGAGACATTATCAGCAGTTGAACAATTATTCATTTGGGCGGAACATTCTATGTGAGAAACGACAGCAAACGAACTACGATAAGTAGCACTAGTAATAGCAAGTGGCTGAGTGTGGTAAGAATCAAGATGAGTTTCATTACAATTATAGTCATCATTGGGCAGAAAAGAACCGACGCGAGATAAAAGTCCGAGAAATTTACCTGTAGTACAGAAAAGAACCGACGCGAGGTAAAAGTCCGAGAAATTTACCTGTAGTACAGAAAAGAACCAACGCGAGGTAAATGTCCGAGAAGTTTACCTGTAGTACAAGTTAAAGAGCGTAACGCGAGAACCGCCTTCGTCTTCCACGTCCCATTGCAGACGTATGGACGAAGCTGTTGTTTCAGTGACGTGCAATTTAGGTGGAAGAGGAGGCACTGTTGAACAAAATGGATATTATCTGAATTATTATATTGATATAATATTCACACTAAGTAGATTACGGGATGATTTTTAACTGCTTACTAACACCAAGAACCGTTATAAGCTTATAACTGTGATTGTACTTTTTAGCTCGGCCATTCTCAAGATTAGAAAAAATCTTCCCTAAAATTTGCATTCAAGTTCATTGGTTGCCAATTCCCAATCGAAGTCTCTTACTTTCAGTGTTACTTCAAGTAAATATTCCAGCACCTTCACCTCTAACTATGACATTGTAGGTGATGGCATCAGTGCCGTGTATGTTGGACGCTGTACAGGTGTAAAGACCACTGGCGCTGCGGTCCACGGAGCTGATAACTAACGAGCCGTTGTTATCAACCATCAGCCTGTAGAATAAAAAACTGAAATCTAGAAATTTTGTCGAAGATAATCCTTCTAAATATTTTAGTTCATGCACAGTATTTTTTAGTTCTTGCACAGTATTCCACAATTTTAGTTCATGTACAGGATTCTCAGAAAATATTTCCATGATCAAAGCTCGGACGGATGGTGAATATTAGTGTTGCGCTCAAACAAGCAATGCTTATTATTGATTATTAACAAGATATATAAGCATGGAGGCATTTCGACGAGCTAGTCGCGAGGTTGAGGCAAAGATACATCGCCGGAGGCAAAGTTACAAGGGAAAAGATTTGCGAATTGTAGAATGCGCAGCCAATGAGGCATTTGACACGAAGCCTTTGTATTCCTACTGCAGATCATATGAAAATTGCAATCTAATGCAGTCCATCATTGAATTTCGAGACTAGCAAGATACGTCTCATATGAATAAATCCTAACAATCATGCACTATCTACTATATCAATATTTCACACGATATTTTCCAGTTTACTTTCAAATATTCATTCTAGAAACAAGATCATAATATACGTGCAACGAAAGCAACTAAATTGTGAATTTCTTTTTCAATTAAGATTTCATCGATAACATTAGATTCAAGCTAGGGAAGGACTTGAAGTTTAATAAAAAAAAACCTGCCGTGCCTTTGATTTACAATGAGATATTTTGAACATTAGAAATTATTAATCACAAGTTAGAAAATTTATGCGGTAATGCGTAGTTAAACCTGGCAAGCGCACCCCGGGGAGTTTAGGTTGACGCGCTCCGGTCCGCGGGTCCAGGTCCTGGAGGGCTCCGGCACGCCGACGGTGCGGCATTGCAGGAGTGCGTCTCGCTTCCAATTGACGAGCACGCTTCCGCCCACCGACCAGATGCCTGCACCAACTGCATAATGGCGGATAAAAGGATGGTTATATTGCATTGCAGGAGTGCGTCTTGCTTCCAATTGACGAGCACGCTTCCACCCACCGACCAGATGCCCGCACCAACTGCATAATGGCGGATAAAAGGATGGTTATATTGCATTGCAGGAGTGCGTCTTGCTTCCAATTGACGAGCACGCTTCCGCCCACCGACCAGATGCCCGCACCAACTGCATAATGGCGGATAAATGGATGGTTATATTAGGGCTGAACGTTATAAGTGGGTCTCACTGCATGTCCTGAATGCCCGCACTAACTGCATAATGGTGGATAAAAAGATGGCTTTATTAGGTGAACGTTACATATGGCTCTTACTGCATGCCCTGAATGTCCGCACCAACTGTATAAGTATGAATGAAAGAAGGATTATTGTAGCTTGGTAGAAGAAAGTGACTCGTAGTGCATAGGCTGAATGCTCCCAACCACTGCACGATGGCGGATAAATGATGTCATTACAACTAATCATTATCACCTCATCATAAAACCTAAAAAATTATCTGATCCTTACCTTTTCATAAATTTTAACATAGCATTAAGTAGGTTATTATTATTATTATTAGGTAGCAGAGTGCCAGTTACCTTCATCATGACCACAGATGATGAGAACAAAAGAGTGTCTTAATACATTTATCTAAGTACGAAGTAAAAGTTTTATTGCAAAAGCTTCTCTCGTCTGCAACGGATAACCGATAAGCAAGATATAAAAAATACATTTATTATCCAAGTACGAAGTGAAAGTTTCATTGCAAAAGCTTCTCTCGTCTGCAACCGATAACCGATAGGCAAGATATAAAAAATACATTTATCCAAGTACGAAGTAAAAGTTTTATTGCAAAAGTTTCTCTCGTCTGCAACATATAGTCAATAAGCAAGATATAAAAAAAAATACATTTATCCAAGTACGAAGTTAAAGTATCATTGCAAAAGTTTCTCTCGTCTGCAACGGATAACCGATAAGCAAGATATAAAAATACATTTATCCAAATACGAAGTAAAAGTTTTATTGCAAAAGTTACTCTCGTCTGCAACGAATAACCAATAAGCAAGATATAAAAAAATAATCATTGTGTTTAAATATGGACAGACCGGTGTCGCTGGGGACGACAGACACCAGCGTACTGGTTCTTCCCTCGCCCACTACAGTCGACGCGGTCACCCACACCTGTAGGGCAGGAAACGGTAAAACTGACGCTGCCATGGCACTGCAAATAATAAAGACTTCGCGGGCATATATTTTGTCACGGAATATTTCAAATACACGAAATACACTCGGTGCTGCAAGACGACATATTTCCAAATAAACATAGCACCGAGCGGGTAAAATCGGGGAAACAATCATGCGTGCCGAAAAATCGCAGTTAGCAAGACCAGAAATGGGCGAACGGCCAGCATTTTGACTTCGCGCATTTCTGTGACTTGATCACAAAATAAAATATTTAAATGTTAATCTTGAATAACTCCAAACTTGCTAGTAACAGCATGTGATGGCAAGCAGTTTCGTACAAAACAAGTGCCTAACCATGAAATATTTCAACATTAACCTTGAATAACGCCAAACTTGCTAATAACAGCATGTGATGGCTAGCAGTTTCGCACAAAACAAGTGCCTAACCATGAAATATTTCAATGTTAACCCTGAATAACTCGATATTTGCTAGTAACAGCGTGTGATGGAAAACAGTTCCGTATAAAACAAGTGTCTAACCATGAAATATTTCAATGTCAACAATGAATAACTCCAAACTTGTTATTAACAGCGTATGATGGAAAACAGTTTCGTGCAAAACAAGTACCTAACCATGAAATATTTCAACATTAACCTTGAATAACTCCGAACATGCTAGTAACAGCGTGTGATGGTAAACAGTTTCGTACAAAACAAGTGCCTAACTGCAAGGTTGACAGTCAACTCGTTGCCAGTTACCGGCGCAGCCTCTCGTCTCGAGTGAATGCTGTCAAGTGCAGCTTCAAGGTTAGCTCCGCGTCTTGTTCATTGCTAATAACATTCTTCGTGTGACCGTGTATTTCTACCATATTCATGTAGCAAGGGAACGGTAATGTTCTAGATGATAAATAAAGTGTTACAGTAATGTTTTAAGTATTTTTCTTTTAGTTAGGTTTATTATTAGGTTATTAAGTTATTCTTTTAGTTAGGTTATTATTTAGTTAGGTTTTTTTAGGTAAGGTTTCTAAACATGCCTATCTGATGGGCGAATTGTCGCAAAATTTTTATCATAAAAAGAAAAGTTTCCTACAACTTTGCGGTCGTCTCCATTTTGAAGACGTTGTATTTTTCAGAATTCGCCTTTCCCTCTGGACTGTGGAGCCAACCATAATACTGATAACTTTTATTTCAATTTTTATTCAACAAACAATGGTCACAGTGTTTGATAACGAGTATGGGTCCTAATAATATGGTAAAAGAATCGAAATCAATGTAATCATATCCCAACGAGTGCATGATGTACAAACGAAAATACGTTCCCACACTCGTTATATGCATCAAGAACAGAAATTAAACTTGAATAAACATATATGAACAGTTATTTTTCTTTTACAATTAATGGATAACTTAGCAACACAAAAATTTTTCCTCAGCATAATAGTGACTTAAATCTAGAATATATCGCTATCATTAGTTCAGGCATTGACAACACAACTTCGCAACACTTGGTTTACTGGCTCAAAACTACAACTTTCAAATCCTGCTCAGCGTTGAGCCGAGGCCTGCATTTTGTTTTTCGAGGCGTCACGGCTGAAAAAAAAACTTTTCTTTGTAGATACAATATGCAAAGAGACCTCGAAATACAAAGCTCTCTGCCCAGTCAATGAACTTCCATAATATAAACTTCGCTCTGTGTATGAGCAGTGAGACTCGGCTTCGGGATGGAATTAGATGTTATCTTTGAAAAAAATTTCACTCCGGCGTAACAGAAATGATCTAAAACCGCAGCAATATTTCATTACATATATTGTGTTCTCTTATTAAAAATTAAAACACAATCACGTTTTACCCAGGCAGAACCCAGGCGATCAAACAATGTCACCTGCTTACAGGTGCCGGACAAATTCACGGCCGGTCTCACGGCCAAACTTCAAATTCAATGACCAAGGAATATCTCCCAAACTAATGAACGAAGCTCGATGACACTAAGTATTTATTAGGAGCTAACGATGATGTTCAGCACGTGAAAATGTTTTCCATTTAATAGAATAGAATAGAAGTGTCGGTATTGAAGAAATAAGCCCCTGGCCTGTTGCCGATTCTTGTACTATTCGTGACTTGATTCCACAAGGGACCCGGCCTTTGGAACCCGAACTTTCCAGAACTGACGATCGATTGAGAAAGCTGCTGAAATAATTGCCAGGTCCGTGAGGTGCTGGGCATTTCAAGACTGAACATATGCTCCTGCATAGCTTCGTCTAGACTGTTCTTGAAGGCGTTCGTACTC